CGTACGAGCTAAACCTGCTTGTTGTTCTATACGCATTAGAGTTCTTACGTTAAATGAAGCCAGTTTGAACGCAGAGTGAGGTCAGAGGAATGGAATGGTCGGCCCCGAAACAGATGTCAAGGAGGAAAGCGGCGAGCTACAACATGAACCTACGTCAGTGGAACCATTCGGGGTGGGACAAATAGTGGAAAAAATGGGGGTACTGTGTGTGGGGGAGGGGCGGGTGGAAGTGTTACGTGCAGATTTCAAGAGAGAGCTTTGCATGGGTGTAAGATTCTGAGACATGTGTGAATGCGTAAGTTTGTAAGTTCATGGTTAGTTTGTGGGCGTGGTACTACCCGGTTGCCCAGGCCGNGGGCGGACCCTACCTGGAGCCTTTAGTAAAAGAACCTGACCTGCAAGGCAGTGGGGTGGAGTAGGGAGTCCACGATCCTCTGGGAGCCGATGACTGGGGGAGGGGGGGAGCAGTTCATACACCTTTCGGATGCGGCCAACTATCCAGGGTACCCAGATTGCCCTTGAGCCGCGCACTTGCCGGTGAGCATCACGGTGGTCAACTCCAAGGATTAACTTTGGAGACCGGTTCGGTTGCACCGAAGATTGGTGCCACTATGAGCTTTCTACGACAGGTGAAGGTGGTTTGGAATCAGGGTTTAGCCAACTCCCCTAGACTGACTATCAGTGGTCAGTCAATCCGGTGGAAAGCGCCGAGCGTTCGCCTTTGCCCTCCCACTTTAGTGTTAACACCGCCGCCACGAGAAGGCAGTGGGTAGGACTTCCTCAGCAGAAGCTATTTGAGACGCTTGGTCCTTCGGGAGCATTTCTAGAGGAGTTCGGGACGAATGGCTATTTCGGAGCCCGAGGCACCCACTCCCGACCAAACTGAGGTATTTGGAGCTACATGGTCGACGGTCATCATCTTGTGCGAACGGTTTAAGCACTCAAGAGTTGTAAATTGAGAATAGTCCAATCCATGGTTCACAAGCACCAGACACTGTTGATGGTCTAAAGTATGCACTGATGACGAGTCCCACACAGGACGAGACGGTTGTCTAGTGCTCTTTGTCGGTTTGTCATTTCTCCATCGCTCGTTTATTCTTATTCCAAATCTAATACTCTTAACAACCGTCATTTATTTCAGTTTCCTGAAGGTGGCCTCATCTAAAATGGGTAGATAATTAGACTTTATTATCGGTCTTGCTCTACGTCGTTGTGGGATTGAAATCCCTTTCATGTGTTTATTCACCAAGGTTGACCTTTCTGTGCCCCATCCTTTGTTGTGATTGGTTCGATTGATATGTTTGTTTGGTCGGTACTCCGACACCTGCTTTAGTAGCCGTTTGACCTTGACTGTCAATGTGCTTATTTAGTTAGTTTATCGTAGCCGCAATAGTCGAATTTATGTTATCCTGTTAAACCGTGGATGATCTTCGTTGTGTTAAATTTTGTGAAATCAACTAGACGTAGGAATTTTTTGAATTTATCGAGGTGAAATGCACGGAAACCGATGACTGAATATAATGGCTTCGTGACTTCTATTCAGATAACTGACGAAATCACACTCACCGTGAGGTACTCCGGCGGTGTGTCTTTCGAGAATGTCCCGTCAGTAAAAGCCACACGACAATACATTGGGGTGACCATTCGTACGGCCATGGCTTTGGCGAAGACCGGAGGGTTGCCAGGCTTGCGAACAATAATTTTCTGACCAACGCTCACCTCGGTATCTATGGGGGCATTCTGATAAGAAAAGGAAAAACAATGTTCACCTCGAGGGAAAAATGGACGCTTCTGCCGAGTAAGATGCGGTTCTTTATCAGATTAAAATCAGAACTAGTTTAGCACCAGGCAACACAAACAAGACTATGATGAATTAGACAGCTTGGAAGATTGACAACCCATTGCCGCGTTGGTTATGTGCAATCCATACATAGTTGAAACACCAAACGTAGATGTTTTGGATAGGTCAATGTTAACCCTATACATTCATGCAATCACATTAGAATCTCTAGGACCCCACAATAGTCACTTTGGAAAGACCGAAGCTGAAATTTCCATCTTCCTGCTGAAGATACAATCGGTAACTAAAAATTGTAGACGATTATGTTTTAGGTGCACAGTTCCCTCTGATCCGTACGCATGCATGCGCATCTAAGTTTTGGCAATAATAGAGACAGCAATGGGATTTTCTTGGAACCCGACCTTATTATTCGATGAGTAGTGGGGTTGAAAATAAACTCCAAACAGTGTTAAAATCTGCCAATCGAGATTTCGAATTGGGCCTGAGTTCTTCAAAATAAAATGACGGTTTTAATGAAGCAACATGGTGACAAAAACATGGCTTCGCGACGTGAAATGCACGTTGCTGGTATTATGAAGTCGATAATCTTGTCTATTTTAAAAGAATAAGAACAGATTGCACACGTCACAGCGTTGATTACCGTCCTAGTTCGGCCCGATCCACGAACTAAAAAGCTACTCTGATGGCGCAGTAAATAACAAATGAAGAAATAGATATTTTCTATGAACGAAAAATATATTGATTCTGCATTCTATAAAAGTTGCGTTCCGAGAAATGTTCTCCGTCTATTCAATGATATTTATTGTGTTGTAATGGCATGATTAAGACACACTGAAAACGAGCTTGTTTGCCAATTTGTGTTCTCATTATGAGCTCCGTGGGACCTTTTAAACATTTGAAACAAGCCAAAGACCCCATCATACTAAAGGAACTAAACGTTTATGTCAAGTACCGTACGAACCTGGCGTTGGCCAATACTCGTATTCATTTCCTGGATTTTTGTGTTGACAAATCAAACTATCCGAAACAGTACTGGATTATTCTGCGACGGAATCGTATACACATTTCTAACGTTGCGCTTCGTCGTCAAGCTCTCAATGAACGTGATACGGTGTGCAACCATCAAATGGATTTAGAAAGAAGCTTGGTGATTTCATTGCGTGGTCTTGAGAAACTTTTGGTGGTTGAAAGACAGACATTTGAGGATTACGTTCAATATATTGTGCAAAAGCAAGTGGAACGCAAGCATGCCCTTCTCATGAAGCGCCTGAATCCGTCAAAACCGATGAGTGAGTTCCCAACGAATCCAGATAGATTCGTCCACAATTTTGCTGATGTGAATCTAGACAAAACGTTGATAGAAGTATTATCCTTGGGGCCAAAGTTCTGCTGGTCGGGGAGAAAATTCAAGCAATTAGATGTGGAGATCGAGTTTGAAAATCTGTGTGCTCAGTTAGCAGTCCATCTCGTTTGGAAGCGGAACAGCTGAAGTCTACTCTGGTGAACACATGTTATCAATATCAGAGTGCCAAATCATCGACTAATGGATTAATAACGGAACAGCATCTACAAAGGCTAAGAGAAGTACAACAGAACAAGGAAGTTATCATCACGAAACCAGAGAAGGGATCTGGTATCGTCTTACTTAATAAATCAGATTACGTCGGGAAGGTAGTGTAAATTCTGAATGATGAATCGAAGTTCACAAAAATGGCCCATGAGAATGACAAGACACCCCAAATAGAGAAGTCCCTTTCTACGATATTAAGAAAACTTAAACAATAGGGCTCTATAGACTCCGCCACTTTTGAACGGATTCTACCAACAGGGACTACGGTTCCACGATTGTACAGGCTGCCCAAAGTACATAAGAGTGGAGTTCGACTCGGGCCAATCTTGGACATGTGCAACTCTCCCTACCATGCGATAGCCAAATGGTTGGCTCGTCATCTGGAACCAGTGAGGATGACATTAACCCAGCATAGCCTCAAGGATACAACCGGTCTCATTGACGCCTTGAGTGGTTTAAACATCAAAGATCGCCACATGTTTTCGCTAGATGTCACATCTCTGTTCACGAATGTTCCGATCGGTGAAACAATTGATTATTTATGCACCTATATAGAAAGTAACGGAATTGACTTAGGCCTACCGACAGATGACCTTAAAGAATTGTTATTCTCCTGTACTCACAATGTGCAATTCAAATTCAACGAGGAAATCTATCGCCAGAAGGACAGTGTAGCAATGGGATCCCCTCTAGGGCCCTTGTTTGCCGATGTTTTAGAAAACGGTCCACTTGAAACACATATCAAACAATGCGTACTGTACAAACGTTACGTAGACGATATTTTGTGCGCGGTCGATTCTACTACGGAGTGCCAAAATATACTAGATCATTTCAATGCTGCGCATCGAAATTTGAAATTAACGATTGAAAATGAAGCAAACAATCAACTAGCATATTTAGATATCTGCCTAACTCGCTGTGATGACGGATCCATCAGGCGGTCAGTACACGGGAAGGCGATTTGGAATGTGCAGTACATTCATTTCCGTAGCTTTGTACCACTCAATATGAAGAAAACATCTCATACTTTGTTTGGTCAATAGAGCTAGAAAAATTTGCACGAAGGACATGCTGGTTGAATAACTCCAAAATGTGCGGAATATCTTCATCCAGAATGGATATCCGGAGCGTTTGGTGGGATCTATGATGCAACGGCAAGAGGCATTTCCCAAGAGGGTAATTGCTGAGAAGAAGTCTGTATACATTTCTGTACCATTTAAAGGTGACAACTTGGCAGAGATTGTGCATAGAGGGTTGTCAAATGCCATCAACAAAACGTTCTACGCGGCCAAGCTTCAAACTCGATTCGCATCTAGCCCGCTGGTGTACTTACGGTTGAAGGATAGAGTGCTCGATTCTGCCGCCTCTTTCCGTATTTACTCTTTCACTTGTTCCTGTGGAGCAAAGTATGTTGGTCGCACGACCAGGCGTCTGTCCGAGCGCGTCCGTGAGCATCGCCCTGCGTGGTTGCGAAGTGGAGCAATTAAGTCAATCACAGGTGCCGTCGTGTCGCACCTTGTCGACACTAATCACATTGTAAACGTGACCGAAGCGTTCCAACCCCCGTATAGAGTTAAGACGGGATGGTCTAGACACGTTCGGTTTCGCATTCTAGCCACAGCGGAGGCAGCTTCCAGCCGTCTTCACGACCCCCTCAGTGGGCTCAGAAACAATTTGTGCAAGCACCCAAGCTCCCATGGCTGGATCGCCGACAAGTGACTTGTCATGCAACATCGGAGCAAGTGATAATTGGGGACCAATTATGAAACAAACTCTTGAATATTTTAATTACTTTACCTCTCTTTTTTCCTTGTAAATCCTTCTTTGATACTAGTCATATTTATTGTGTTGTAATGGCATGATTAAGACACACTGAAAACGAGCTTGTTTTCCAATTTGTGTTCTCATTATTCAATGATGGTCAAGGCCATTGTTTAATACAACATATGACAGTGGGAAATATCTACCATTAAATCAAATAAATGTAAGGAACGGGTAGAACCCTTTTTAGTACACACATGTGTGATGACCCCCATAGCCGCTAAGATCTGCATTTTAGTGATGGAAACAGGCAACCTAAGCCCTTGGAGTGGCGAACCATATAAGACTCCGCTGGTTTAGAAGTGGCATTGGACCGGATTATAGTAAAACTGCCTACCAACAAATTTGGGCGGCGGCGGGGTTCAAACCGCGTACCATAGGGTCTAGAGCATGCCTGTGACAGCGACTAAACAACTTCACCATCAAGTAACGAGCGGTGGTGGCTTGCTGGTAACAGAATGTGTGTTCGAGTCCCACTACCACCGCCTAGCTTTCCCCTTTGTGTGTTGAATAGCAGCCCTTGGACTGGCCGCTTGCCCCTTCCTGAGATTTGTATTATTAGGTATTCAATAAAATGAAAATGAAAAAAGAAACAAGTTATCATCAGCAACAGGAACAATACAAGAAAGAAATACATGATTGAAAGAGCTGATATCCAGTTGTGAGCAAAATGGGACTAGTTGTACATTGATCAATATCAAGCTTCGAAAACAGAGAAACCTAGATCGACTTAGAACAGTCAACATTATCAGAGGGAAAGGCGAAGAGTTTCCGACTTGCGGCATTGGGTCGAGTTACTGAAAGCTATTGACCCCAACCCTATCTCCCGCTTTTTTCTATCGTCTCTTTCTTTGGCTCGCTGAAAACTGTTGAAATCGAGTAGCTGCATGCATATCACGCGTGTGCTTATGCCCACATCATTGGTGAATCAGCGAGGTCAGTTGTTTTGCGCAAATAGAAATTGAAAGCTGGAATTGGTAAATAAGGGAACAGCCATCTTTGCAGTAAATGTGTTCGACCCACAGCAATCTGGCGGCCGGCAAGTTAGCGTTGCTTAATTCAAATGGAAAATCCGGATCTGGTACACTTATGAGTGTTGGGTAACATAAACGTGTCCTGGAATTGTTGAAATAGTTCCCTAGGATGCCATCGATGCCGAAACATGACGAAGACGATTATGTGGATTTCAATAGAACGATTAACAACAACACATCCCGACCAGTTTGAAAGCCTGATCGACTGTGTAAAGGAGAGGAAATACCAACAGTATACAGTATAACACAAGTTAAAAATGCTCTGACGTTCATCTTCTCCAAGTAACGACCAAATCGGTTGAGGTTATTCGCCATACATTAGAAGCCACATCCGATAACCTAGCCCCAAGAATACGGTGACACCCAAGGGTTACCTTGCTTATAGGAATCTATTTTGGTCATTATGGTCTGATGAAAATATTACGCACCGAGAAATCTTATCAATCGATTTGGGCAACAAATATTTCTATGGTGCTCGAGTACCCCGTAGCCTAACGTTTGCGTTCAGCATTGTGGTGGAAACTATCAGGACAAAATGAATTGAGAATACAACTCGCAAAACACAGTCGGTACACTTATGACACTGGCTAAGGAAAGATGCGACGATAACTGAAGCATGGGATGGAACAATTACTCACCTGCAAATTCTTTGTCGGATGGTTATCACAGGCTAAATAGAACACGTTAGGATACAAATCAGTCCCGATCATGACACCAGCCATCTGTGCACAAGTTACGTGATACCGAATCGGGCAGTGTGATTTCCAACAGCCAGCGAGGGGTAAGTTGCCACGAGAAGGTATTTTGCACACAACACAAATGGAGCGCGTGTTTGACGCACGGGACCTCGTGGGTGCAGATTCATTCTTGTCTCTTTTGTAACCATCGGCAGTTGTGGTCGAATTCCGGTCCCTACGTACAACATTACCGCATAGCGACCCTTTCCACGACCTGTTTGAGGTATTTGATAGGAAGAAAATTGACAGAATTAATTTGCTTCAGAATTGACACGACATTTTTCAAACACGCGCATGAAACGGGAAGTATGCGATGATCCTGATGGAATCGAGGGTTGATGGGCTTATACCCAACTGATTCATATAAAACAAGACAGCGAACAAAAAACCGAGCTCGTTGTCAAATTCGAATGAAATTTTGAGATCTTCTAAGACCATCTACACCGGTAGCACATTACCAATATTTCCGACATTATTAGATGAGATATCCTGGTGTACCGCAAATCCTGATTTTCCTGATTTGTGTGACCTTATTAAGATGAGCACATGACATGTAGATAAACACTGAAAACTGCGTTACTCTCGCCGTTTTGTTGCGAGAACTAATCAGATAGATTAGGTCATATTTCGGTGCACGAAAAAATTCGGCTTTTATCCCTGACAAGAAGGAAAAGTGGTCAAAAATGTATACCTCTACTCGAAACTGACATTTTCAGACATCCAACAACTTTCCTCACACTGCACTGATAATAATGATAATATCAACAAAATTAGCTATATTTTATCAACATTCAAAGGAGCCTCAGTTTTTTCAAGGAGAAAGTGACGATCGATTGCAACTCGTTGTGTGTTTGAGTCCGAACACGCAGCTTCTATGTCATGGTTGAAGATGTTTTTTATTACAGCAGACGAAGCGAGCCCCATGGTCACGAGGACCTGGTGTTCAGTGGTGGAAACCGGTAGCCTAAGCCCCGGGACTTGGTGTGGCGAACCACATAAGGCCCCGCTAGGTTAACATTGTGATCACCTTGAATGTTTCTACAGTACTTCAGCCCCGGAGCGAACATCGACGGGAATCTCCTCAAGGAAACTGCACTCTTGTTCGAATTATCAACCCTCAGCTTAACACCAAGATGCAAGAATGTAAACCCTTTTAGCCACATATTCAGTACTCGTGGGTGCCAGTGATTTCAACTGACTGGTGATCCATTCAAAACACTTAGTTGACACCACTAATTTATTTTCCGATCCCGCCACCACTGTGTACAAACCGGAAACTATTGTTTTTTGGATATACATAGAGCAAAAGCAAAAACCAGCCTCTTCTCACAGTTTTAATTCTTGTCGCAGCGTCACTTGAGAATTTTTGTTCCGTTACACTCGAGTTTTTAAACTGGAAGATGTTACCGGGATAGTGTTAGGTAAAAAGACTATTTTTACCTAAAACTGACTATTTTTCAAGTGTCTGCAAT